TCTCTCTCTCTCTCTCTCTCTCTCTCTCTCTCTCTCTCTCTCTCTCGCTCTCTCTCTCTCTCTATCTACACCGGTAGGACCACTAATGCCACTATCCCCAGCTAATCAGTCCGTTTATACGGTAACTAAACCACCGGATCCGTTACCACCGACACGCTGTAATTCCGGTTCCGGGTCATCGCTTCCGTTTCCGGTAGGATACATGCGCGGGGGCACGACCTTCACGGGGGACATCCTGTCCAGCCATCCGGATGTATTCTACCTGTACGAGACTTCGTGGTTTAGCGAAGATCGAACGCATTCGCTGCGACGGGCTGACGCGTCGGTGGTCGACAGTCGCCGCATTATCACCAAGCTACAGGTACAGAGAGAGGAGGAGAGGGGGAGGGGAGAGAGGGAGGGAGAAGAGGAGGGAGAGGGAGAAGGAGAGGGGGAGGAGGAGGGAGAGGGGAGGATGAGGGGAGAAGGGGAGGAATGGAAGGGAGAGAAAGGAAGAGAGAGCGGAGGGGAGAAGAGAAGGGATGAGGAGAAGAGAAGGGAGAGGAGACAGAGGAAGGAGGAAGAACGGAGGAGGAAGGAGGAAGGAATTCGCTGCGACGGCTGACGCGTCGGTGGTCGACAGTCGCGCATTATCACCAAGCTACAGGTAGCAGAGAGAGGAGGAGAGGGGGAGGAGAAGAGAAAAGGGAGAGAGGGAGGGGAGAGTGAGAGAGGAGGGAAAAGGAGGAGAAGGTGAGAGAGGGGGAGAAGAGGAGGTGGGGAGAGAAAGGTAAGAGGAAGAAAGATGGTCAACGATGAAGAGTGAGAGGAAAGGGGAAAAGAATAACGGAAGAGGGAGAAGGGGAGGGGGCGGAGAGGAGAAGCGGGTGGAGGAGGGAAAGGGGAAAGGGGAGGCGGACAGGAGCAGGGGCGGAGAAGAGGGAGGAAAATAAAGAGAATAATATATTATATATATATTATATATATATATATAATATATATATATATATATATATGAATGATCTCTCTTTATGTGTGTGTGTGTGTGTGTGTGTGTTGCGTGTGGTGCGTGTGCCCGTGTGCGTGTGCGTGTGCGTGTGCGTGTGGCGTCGTTGTGTGTGCGTGTGCGTGTGCGTGTGGCGTGTGCGTGTGCGTGCGTGTGTGTTGCGTGGTGTTCGTGCGTGCGTGCGTGCGGCGTGCGTGTGTGTGTGTGCGTTTGTGTGTGTGTGTGCGGGCAGTTGTGTGTGTGTTGTGATGTGTGTGTGGTGTGTGTGTTAGTTGTGTGTGTGTTCGTGTGTGGTGTGTGTGTGCTGTGTGTGGTGTGTGTGTGTTGTGGTGTGTGTGTGTTTTGTGTGTGTGTGTGTGTGTATGTGTGTGTGTGTGTGTGTGTGTGCGTGTAGTGTGTGTGTTGTTTTTGGGGGTGCGTGTGTGTGTGTTTGTGTGTGTGTGTGTGTGTGTGTCTCACTCTATCTCACCCTCTCTCTCTCACACACAGACGTGCGACTACACTGAACCGGAGCTTCGCGAATTCATGAAATACCAGGTGCGCCGCGGCCACTACGCTCGAAGCCACGCGATCTCGCGAGAACTCGGCTGCGACGACCCGCTCCTCATGCGTCGCCTCGACAAGTGCCGCCCTCTGGGGAAAAAATGCGCCGAAACGCCGTCGCTATGGCAACGCGCCTGCCGCTCACACCGCGTGCACGTCTTCAAGATACTGCGTCTTCACGTCGTCGACGTGGCGCCCCTGGCGGCGACGCTGGCCGCGACGCTAGCCGGCGTCAGCGTCAAGTTCATCCTGCTGACGCGCGACCCGCGCGGCGTTCTCACGTCTCGCGAGAGACACAAGTTCGTCGCGTTGCACCTACGCTCGCCAGACGTCTGCTACAACATGGCGGAAAACTACGACAGCGCCGCCGCACTAAATCTGTCCTCGGACGTTCTCAAGGTCATCCGCTACGAAGACGTCGCCGACCACCCCGAGGTCAAGGTCAGAGAGATCTACGATTTCGTCGGCCTGCCGTATCTGCCGGAGACCGACGCCTACATCGCTTTGAACACGCGCGGAGAGACGGGAAGCGACGCGAAAGGCGCAAGGGGACCGGAAGTGGTGGGATAAGGACCGAAAGCGACGAGAAGAAGAAGTGGAAAAAGGTGGAGTTCGACTGGCATTCGACGTACAGTCGCAACTCGTCGGCGTCGGCGCGCGCGTGGCAGACGAAGATATCTCGCGCCAAACACGAGGAGATAGAGAGACAGTGCGGGGAGTACATGGACAGACTCGGGTACACGCGCACCGCCTACACGGGCAAGCCTACAAAGCTGCTGGGAAACCCTAGCATCGGATACGGTTACAACTGAGACGGGGCAGCGCGGGAGAGGGGAGGAGGGGAGAGGGAGGGAGGAGGGGGAGAGGGGAGGGAGGAGGGGGGAGAGGGAAGGAGGGAGGAGGGGAGAAAGGGGAGGAGGGGAAGAGGGGAGGGAGGAGGGGGAGAGGGATGGAGGAGGGGGAGAGGGAGGGAGGAGGGGGAGGAGTGGAGAGGGAGGGAGGAGGGGGAGAGGGACAGGCGAGGGAGAGGGAAGGAGGGGTCGTAGTGAGCCGGGGCGGGGCAACGCGGTCGGTAGGAGGGGGGCCGGGGCGGTCGGCGTGG